TGTGCTTATTCTCTTTTTTAATTGTGTGATATAATGTTAGGGTGGATAAATGATAGAGCCAAATGATTGGAGCCAGACTACATCTATTCAAATTAAGTGACATTTCATTTGTCTCAAATCAGGTCAAAGAGAAATAATTTTTATCAACTTTGGAAGATGTGTTTGAGATGGTATTAATTAAAATTCAGGCTATGTGGCACTCACAAAAATCATTTGTGAAGTACCTTAAAGAGAAAAGCAGTGTGCTGCAGAGCAGCTGAAACAGTAACAAGAAGGTCACAGCTTACTAGGAGACACATGCCATACATATCAAGACATTAGGGACAGAGAAAACAAACAACTGTTTTACACACAGGCCTCAAATTGAAAGCCATAAGGCGGGAGATACAGGCACTGATTTTTGCAGATTAGATGCTTTCCACATGGCATCTCTATACAGTGTGCTTTACAGAGAGTAGAAGCAAGATTTTTGTTTTTAAAAGATGGTTAATATCCTCTCACAAAAAACAGATGGGAGAAAAAAAGGTTAATAGTTCCAACAAGAAAAAGTGAGTAGATTAGTTAATAGCCTGAGTTCCACAGTCATGTTAAGCATATAAAAAAATCCTTAAATTCCTAATAATTACCTTTTCCTGTCTTTTTTCAAAAGAGGATTTAACTTCATCAGAATTTTTCTTTACATTTAAAACACTTGTATCTTCAGTTTCCTCATCATCTGGCAAAGCAAAGGTTACTCTTTTCAAACTTTCTTTATGTTGTTTATCATCTTCATTTTCTTCAAAGTCATTATCTTCATCCCTACAACATTAAAATACTTATAAAAGGAAATATACTACTTTTCATTAGAAAAACAAAAGGAAACAAATTTTCTGTTAACAAAGTTCTTCTTTTATATACCTAATGCAACCAAATAGTCAGAACTTCCAAAGTCACTCAGTTAAGGAACAACAGAAGGAATTATTTAGGTGAAATGCTATGTTAAGTAATAGAATAGGCCAGCCAAAGTGGCTCATGCCTATAATCCTAGCACTTTGGGAGGCCAAGGCAGGAGAATCATTTGAGTCCAGGAGTTTGAGACCAGTCTTGACATAGCAAGATCCTGTCTTTACAAAAAAGAAAAAAAATTAGTCGTGCATGGTGGCATGCACCTGTATAGGCCCTGCTACTCAGGAGGCAGAGGCAGGAGGATCACTTGAGCCCAGGAGTTCAAGGTTACAGTTAACTGTGGTTGTGCTACTGCTCTCCAACTTGGGTGACAGAGCAAGACCCTGTTGGAAAGGAAAGAAGGAAAGGAAAGAAGGAAAGGAAAAAGGAAAGGAAAGGAAAAAGGAAAGGAAAAAGGAAAGGGGAAAGGAAAGGAAAGGAAAGGAAAGGAAAGGAAAGGAAAGGAAAGGAAAGGAAAGGAAAGGAAAGGAAAGGAAAGGAAGAAAGAAAGAAAACTCTACTATCTGATCTTAGAGAATCTAATTTCTTAAGATAAACACATTTGACAACTATGAGCACATATTTATGAATGCACAACTCCAGCTTACAACGTAAAAGATAATTCAAAATACTTACGTTTCAGAAATGCTTAGTTCTTCTATTTCTTCTTCAGCAATTTCTTCTTCATCTTTGTCTGAACCCAGCTCATCATCATGAGCACTTGCTATGTCTTCATCACTTTCAACTGGATCAAAGAAATCTCTGTATTTCAGGTTTCTGGAACTTTTACTTGACTAAAATAAAAATTTTTTTTTAATTTTAATTAAGGATAGAAAAATACATTAAAACATGCACCTATTTGTATGTGTATTGTATATATACATCATTTTCCAACTTCAACACTACAAGCCAAAAACTGTTATTAAGGAAAATCGGCAACCAGTAACACTACCATACAATTATAAGAATTGGAAAATAAACTGAATTTAAATATAGATTCATTTATAACTGATAAAATAGAGCACAATATTCCACATCTCTAAATCTTCTAACTATAATTCTCTCCTAGAACAACAGAAAAAAGACCTAGTTTGAGAAGGAAGAAAGTACTCTTTCTCCTTCCTCAAAACTTTACCTTAGGTTTTTGACTTCCAAATAGTCCTCCCTCATCTTCATCAGAATCAACATCTTCAAAAAAATCAATATCTTCATCCACCTCCTCATTTTTTTGTTCTTCTTCTTTTTCTATGTTTTCTAAAAAGGCCTCCATTTCAGATAGTTTGAAAAATTTATCATCTACTATGGATTTTTCTCTTGGTTTCTTAGGCACTTTGCTTTGTACCTTGCTCTGCTGTTCTAATTTGCTGATATCAAAGTCAAGGTCAGAATCTTCATCACTAAAAACTGGGCTTTTCCTCAGATCAAATTTATTTGAGTTTTTAGCTCTTTCATCCTCTTTAGGACCATCAGCATCTATGTCTGATGCTTCTTCCTGCTCCAAAACTTGTTCTAGGTCCTCCTGGCCATCAGCCTCCATCTCCGAACCATCCTCTTCACACTCTTGTTCTTCACTCTCTGGGAGAAGACTGATGTCTTCTTCTTTAATTGTTTCACTAACTGCATTCTGGAAGTATTGTAAAATTGGTTCATTCTGCAATTCCAGTTGTTGCCAGATCTGCTCATCATCAAAATTGTCTATCACAAGTTTCCGTAAAGGACTCCCATGGCTCCTACCCTTCTCTAGTATTTTATTAAAGTCATAAAGTACTTTTGTTAAAGAAGTAAATTTTGATGCTAATCCATCTTGAATCCTATTGGGGGGGGGAATTAAATGAGATTTAGAATTATGGGTAATAATTTCATAGTACTGAATTAAAAGAATAAAAAGCCCAACTCTTGTGCAAAATCAAATTTGAAAGAAGTGCCAATTTTGAGTACAGATTCTGGCCCCCAACAATGTATTATTTTGCTGATTAGCCACACTGATATATAAAACTCTCAGCTAAGTATCTAAATATATTGTATAGATTTTAGGTAGGAAAACCATTACAAATCTATTTGCGTAGAGCTATACAGTGAATAGGCCTTAAATTCTCAACTCTGCTACATTTTATACCACTCCTTTCATTCAGTCAGTCAATGGTCAACATTTGCTTTGGCTGGAGTGGTCAAGGAAAATCTCTCTTGATGTGACATCTAAGATAAGACTTTCAGATAAGGGGACAGTCTTACAAAGATGTAGTAACGTGTATTCCTGGCAGAAAAACAAATTCTCCAAGACGTAATAGAGATTGATGAACTCAAAGAACAGAAGAGTCAGCATGGCTGGAGTGTGGAGGAGGCAGAAGGGGAGACCGGAGAGGCTGCTGGGAGCCAAATCAAGCCAGGCTCAGGGAAAGAATTCGTCATTTTAAGAGTACTGAGAAACATCAGAAGGTTTTAAGCAGAGGGATGAAATGATGACTTACACTTTGGAAATATGGCCTATAGAAGAATATTGAAGGTGGGGTGATTAGAAAACTGATGCAGCATTCCAGGCAAAGGATGATGGTGATTTATGCAGAGCAGTGAATACGTTGAGAAGCAGGGGATTCAAATTATAGATAGACCTGGAGTAGACCTGAAAAGGTCGCTAAGAAAAAATGAAGACATCAAGTAAGCAGCCTAGCTGGATGTCTATGCAACTGGAAAGACATAAGTGCCATTTACTGAGGAAGGCTTGGGTGGTGGAGCACAGGAAACGACTTCAGCGAGGGCAGACAGTACAGGTGGGTAATTAGAAACAACAGTTCTATTTTGTACACAGTGAATTTGAGATGCTGAGTATCGAGATTTTTTTAAGTGTTAAAAGCTGTATATTGTGGATCTCCCAGTTGTGTGCTGTTGAAATCAAACTAAGCTCAGATAGTCTGTAGTTGCTGTGAGCCTGGAGCTCAAGGGTGAGGTCAAAGTTTGAAATATAAATCTTAGTCGTAATTTTATAGACCATATTTGAAGTTCTTTAACAAAATACGTAGGAATCGCTTGTGCTGGGAAGAGAGACGAAAGGCAGTTCTAATTCTCAAGAAGCTTAGTCGTGGGGGTGGACAGACAAGCGACAAGTTCATACTTTCAATAAAGTGTGATGACAGGTAAGCATTGGGTGCTTTAGGGGCACATGGGAAGAAACAGCAACCAACATACTTTGTGTGTAGAGGAATGGGGGATGCACAAGCTTCAAGGGAGGCCTCAGAACGTTAACAACCGAGCTTAGTTCGATTTCAAAACCACACAACTGGGAGAGCTACACCATACAGATTTTAATAATTTTTAAAATTCTAGGGGAGGGTAAACTGACATTTGGGGAAAAGCGCCCTACACTTCCCCATATCTCCCGCCCGGGCCTCCCAGTTCCAGATTGCAACTCAAGCCCACCCGAGACCCAGGCCGCACCCGGAGCCGGGGATCTGTGCACTTACGTGAGGAAGCACTCGGGCCGGTCGGTGGCTTTACCGACCTCCTTCAGACACCGCTCCAGAGTGCGCCGACGCCAGACCCGCGGAGCCATGGCTGTCAGCAGCTCCGGTCGCAGCTACGCATGTGAAAGAAAAGTCGCCCGGAAACCGCGCAGCAAAGACGCGCCTAGAGCAACTTGGAGGTCGGAGCCGAAAGTTCCGCTGCACAAAGGTTCCGGACCCACCCCAGCCGGAGCCAATGGCAACGCGAGAGCTTTCACTGGGCTTGCGTAGAGGGGCGGGGCGGGAAACTGAAAAGGGCCGCGGGTCGGCCCAAGTGCCTGTGGACATTCTCCGAACTTTCTGTTTTGTAGGCTTGAGGGGCCCATAAAGAGTGACGCGTCCTGGCTTTAAGTTTCTCCTTTAAAGTAAGTGGCTTCGACAACGTCGTGCTGTAACAGAAACTCAGCTACAGTCGCCACGGCCCCTTGCCGCTTCTGTCCCCGCCCCCTGCCTAGGACGCCCCGCCCCTCGGCCGCCCTCCTAGCGGCCGCTGCGGCCCGTAGGGATTTAGCGGGTCGCTTCCCAAGATGGCGTACGTGCAGAAGGCGGCTGCGCTAGCCGCAGGTGAATACCTCGCGCCGTCGGAGGTTGTCGTGGGGCGGGGCGCGTGAGACTGGAAGCCAGGGGGCTGGGGGAGGCCACGGGGTGGCCAGAGCGACTAGATCTAATGAGTTCTGTCCCCGAAGTCGCGTTCCGCAGCCTTGGTCAGCACCTGGGCAGAAGGTACCTTCCATGAACGCCTCCGCTCAGCACCGGGATTGCCTGATTGTAGGCAAGTCTCGCTGCTACCCCGGGAGTAGCGTGGTTGACGTTGCTGCCTTTTTAATGTGTGCCAGAGGCGAGGGAACTTGCCCAGCGCGTCAAGCAAGGCAGGGGGCAGGGACAGAAGTAAATGAAAGTAAATGGATGAGAGATGGCGTTATTTTACCTCGCACCATGAGAGAGACTGGGGAGAAACTAGAAAGGAGAGCAAGTCCTGTAAAAGAAACTTAAGCCGATCTCCAAGCATGTCCAGTGTCCTGTTGAGAACGCTGGAAGGTCAGTGGTTTAAAGAATACCAAAACAGTGGTTTTTTCCACCTGCAACCCTTACTGGAATAAACACAAATTACTCATTACAAGGTTCAGAGTAATGCATTTCTGCTGCATCTTTCTGAAATGAAGGCAGAGATCCTAAAACTAAAGAGTTGTGAGTTCCTGCCAATTAGAGGACAATCTGAAATAAAAAAAAAATCTTTAAAAAGTTAGCTTGATTGTGGTAATCATTTCATAATTTATGTGTATATCAAAACAGCACATTGTACACCTTAATATATATGATTTCTATTTGTCATATCTCAAAGCTGGAAAAATACCTCTTAAAAGTTGCTATAAGTCAAAGGACAAAATACAAGAGTTCAATTCACAGCCAACTTTTCAGGAACACATATTTTTGTTAAATATAAGTATCTATTTCATTTTAACCCCTTTATTTCATGTTCCCCACCCAGTTTGCTTGGTCTACAGAATATTATCCACTGATTTCTTAATACTAGGATCATTCCTTTATTTATTTTTGAGGTAAAATTCACATAACAAAATAACCCTTTAAAAATGTATGATTTAGCAGCATTTATTACATTGTATTGTGCAACCATCTCCTTTATCTAGTTCAAAACATTTTCATCACCCCAAAAATAAAACCCCCATTCCCTCTATCCCCTGGCAACCACTATTCTGCTATCTGTCTCTATGGATTTACCTATTCTAGATATTTTATATAAATGGCATCATACAATATATGACCTTTTATATCTAGCTTCTGTCATTTAACATAATGTTTTCAATGTGCATCCATGTTGTAGTATGTCAGTACTTCTTATCCAGATAATATTCTATTGTATAGATGTGAATAATATTTCATTGTTTGGCTATTAGAAATACTGCTGCTATGAGCATTAGTGTATAAGTTTTTGTTGGAATTCATATTTTCAATTATTTTGGGTACTTAGGAGTGGAATTGCTGGATCAAATTATAATTCTATATTTAACTTTTTGAGAAACTGCTGAATTGCTCCATGGTAGCTGCACCATTTTACATTCTCAGCAGCAATGTACAAGTGTTCCAGTTTCTCCACATCCACATCAACACTTGTTATTTTTTATTTTCACAGTTATGGCCATCTTGTTGGGTGTGAAGAAGTATCTCACTGTGGTTTTGATTTGCTTTTTTCTAATGACTGTTGTAAGATATTGTAAGACATTGAGTATCTTACAATATGTGATTGTTGGCCGTTTTTATATCCTTATCCCTTCATTTTAAAGAAGCAGAATTATTGAATTCTCACAGCTGTCACTATTTTTTTTTGTACTCTATTCCTAGAATGTATACTTCAGGAACCAAATAAATCCAATAAAAGCAACATTTCCTTTCTCAAGACAGTTCACATCTCAAGAGATAAGATAAACCTGTATAACCTCAAAGTCTTAATTTTTACAATATATAAAAAATGCTGTTATCTTTCTGTCTTTTTAACACATGAAAGAGATTTTGTTTTCTATTAAAAAGAATAAGAACCATTCATTCTAGTAACCTGTTTCCTCTTACACTTAGAACCAAATGATAAGTATATTATGGAGAGAGAGAGACTACAGTGAGGCTTCCTGTAACATGAGTTTCTTGGCCTTCTTTTTAAGTGACAGGTTTTGAAATACCCCTAAAACTGACATGAGATATAAAACTTCATCTTCACTTACATAACCTGTAATTTGTTTTTGACATTTCTATGTGTCCCTTTGCTGTTACCACAACACCTACAAGGGCACTTCTACCAGTCCATATCTTGTAGAAATAACCCTGGCAGAATGAATTCAGAAACACCTGAACTTATTATTTGACATACTCTTAAATTTCACAGACAAAACAACTTCTTCATGTACATATTACCCTAGCATTCACTGACCCTATTTATATTACTCTTTGATATAAATACATTCTGTATTGAACTTTCATTGCAAATAGTACTTGCAATAGACAGGCAAAGAAAGAAGGGAAGAGCATCTTAAATCATTTTGTTGTTAGCGTTTTTATAATTTATTATCACCATATCCTCATGAGATAGTTTCTTGGTCTCCACCAATAACCCTGCATGCCATTTATCTAGCAAGCAATCGTTTTATGTCATTAACAATAAGAATGATTGAATTTATTGTGTACCTACTATTTATGTCTGGCATTATTTTATGCTTTTTACACCAACTATATAATCTTTACATCAAAATAGCAAGTTAGATATGTAGTGGGTGGTAACAGTATTTTTAAAAAATTGAAATAGAAAATATCAGAGCATCTAGTAAGGATTAAGTATTCTTATGAAATTTAGTTTCAGTTTTACATTTATGTACATGTGTACTGGGTTGGAATACACTTAGATTTCATAATATGATGAGTCCATAGAATTGGGCTATGTTAACTTACTGGTAATAAGAACCTTTGGGTATTTCAGTAATCAATAATATAGACGGGGCAGAGCAGAAGACTATCTAATGCTGAATTTTGTCTTCTGAACATCAGGTTTATGGTCTTCAAAATAGTGTCACTTTAATTTCCTTGTTATTAAAAATTTCAGTTAGAGTAATTTGTTCTTGTTGTTGTTAGCTGAAGGTCTGTAATTCTAAATACTGTTTGAAGTGTTTTTCATTCAGAGCTAACTAACAACCTGTTGTTTAAAATAGATGTTCTTGGGCTGGTCACAGTGGCTCATGCCTGTAATCCCAGCACTTTAGGAGACTGAAGTGGAAAGATTGCTTCAGGCTAGGAGTTCAGGACCAGCCTGGGCAACGTGGAGAGGCGCCATCTCTACAAAAAATTTTAAAAACTAGCAGACATGGAGGCATACTCCTATAGTCCCAGCTACTTGGGATGCTGAGGTGGAGGAGTGATTGAACCTAGGAGTTCAAGGCTGCTGTGAACTGTGATTGCACCACTGAACTCCAGCCTGGGTGACAGAGAGAGACCCTGTCTCTAAAAGTAAAATATGTGCTCTTCATTTTGCTATTTCTTACCTTTTTATTAAATGATGTGGTTTTATAAGATTATGTTTACACCTCATCCATGTATATAATTTTCCTTCTGGGAGGAATCTGACTCTTCAAGTCCAGTGTTTTGGGGAATGGGGAAGCAGAGTAATACATGGAAAGATGACCTTGAAACCTTTAGTTGCTGAATGAAAGGGGATTTCTTCACATTCAGAAGCAGTTCTGTCTCTAATGATTCAAAATTATAAAAAGAAATAAAAATTTGGTTGCAGGAAATCCTCCTAAGTTAAATACCTCTTGATCTTTGCTTGTTTTTCTCCCCAAAATTAGATGTTTTCTATAGTTGATAATCATTCAAATAAAATATACGTTAAAAAGTGCTGTATGGTTATGACTTTAATGAACTTACTACAGAATATAAGATAAAAATTAAGTATAGAGAGGGAAGAAAATTGCTTGCTCCTATCATTAAATGTTTGTTGTTTCACTATTACATTCAAACTTTCCCCTGTGAAATGCAGAGAATAGCAGCTATCCTTTGTTACTTGTAAATACAAATTATTCTGAAAATATCATTCTTCTAAATCTAGTTGAAGCGCAGAATTAGCTCTTTAATTTCAGACAGTTATTTAAATGGGCAGAGCAGCATGAGTAATCGTGACTTAAGTTTTTCTATTTATCTCCAGATTTAATTTCAGTAATTAAGGTATATAAATAATGAATTTTTGTATGTATTATTTGTTTCATTTTTAAAATTCAATTTAGAAGTGCATTAATTCTTTAAAGAAGCATATTAATGGCTGTTCAATTTTTCAGGACTTTTTTCCAGACTCCAAAGTCCAGTTCCAACACTAAGAGCTTTTTTCACGTCACAACCCTTGCATCAAGTGGCAGATCCTGTGTGGAACTTGGGTAGACTAAATCATGTAGCCATAGCAGTGCCAGATTTGGAAAAGGCTGCAACATTTTATAAGAATGTACTGGGGGCCCGGGTAAGTGAGGCGGTCCCTCTTCCCGAACATGGAGTATCTGTTGTTTTTGTCAACCTGGGAAACACCAAGATCGAACTGCTTCATCCATTGGGAAGTGACAGTCCAATTGCAGGTTTTCTGCAGAAAAACAAGACTGGAGGAATGCATCATATCTGCATTGAGGTATTTTAATTATTTTAATGCTTGGTATTTTATATCTCTCTTTTACAAAGTATCTTGTACCTTTTAAGACTATGTATGGTTACTGTCATCAGAAACTTTTCTTAAGTTTTTTAAGTGGAATGATATTAGTCCTGCTGAAAGTTGGATCCATAGATATATTATCTTTCCTTCTAGAAAACTGTAAAAAAATAATATTAATATATTTTATTGAAGTCTGGATTTAATAGCCACTATAAAGGCCACCAAAGTTAGCCAAAGCATAATTTAGAGCTTTGTTCTAGGATTTATTGATCATATATGACCTCCCATGTAATAGAAGTACAACTGCTTTCACTATCACAAGCAATTAGGAGAAACAAGTGAAAAGACTTTATGAAGTAAGAATTTCCATATGTATGCTAAGTATTCTTATAGTTATTTTTCTCCTTAAAATTCTAATAACTTTTTCCTTATTACAAAAGCAATACATTTTCAGTTTACTAACTGGTTTTAAGATCTTCTGTATTACATCTGCTAATAATTACCCCAAAACACGAACAAATGTTAGACAAGAACATTGTCTTGTGAGAGCATTTATCTATAGATGTTCATGTTCAGATAACTGACTTTTATTTTTTATTTATTTATTTTTTTTGGAAAGAAAGGTGATGCTGACAGATAACTGACTTTTAGAATGTCAGCAATGGCAATTAAGCTTCAATTTAAATTAATTTGATAAGACAGTTCTTTTGATATTAGGAATGACATAATTGTTAGGCCAAATTCCTAATCCAAAAGAGAGGTGGGTTGATTCTAGAGTGAATTCAAGAACCTATTTAGTTTGTTACTGCAAATATGTATAATAACCTACAATGTGTACTCTATTAAGTACTTGGAATTCAGCAATGAATAAGACATAGACCATGTCCACAATGAGGATGAGGGACAGATATAGGCAAGTACAGTATACCATAATAAGTGGAATTGATATATGTGTCTTCTCAGCACAAATGAGGGAGAGATTGATGGCTTCTGGCTAGTTGAGTTGCTGAAAAGACCTCACAGAGCATGAGTTACAATGAATGTGAAGGAATTCCCTAGGTGAATGAGAGGAAAAGGTATTCCAGACAGAAGAAGTATAATAGCATGTGGAAAGGCATAGAGTTATCATAACAACTAACACTTATTGAGTCCTCCAGCAGTAGGTATACAAAGTACTCAACACACATTATTCTCTTTCATTTCCATAGCTATCTTCTAAGGGCACTGTTAATCCCATTTGACAGATAAGGAAACTAAGACTGAGAGTAGTTAACTTGTGCTCAATCGTATTAGTATAGTAATAGGTGGCAAGGCTGGGATTGAAACCCAGGTTTGTTCTGATTCTGGGGTCTGCACTCTTAGCCATGACACCAATTGCTTTGATTATATTAATTGAGTTTAAAATTTGAGGTGGGAGAGCTACAAGAAATTAAGCAGGGAACTGACCAAGGCCTAATATCAGCCTTTATTCCATTTTTAGGAGGTTACTTTTGGCTGCAGGTCTTTATCAGTGGAGCTGATAAAGGGTTTTTCTAACAGCCCCCCACCCACCCCCAGAATGAGGACCTTTGAATCTACTCTTCTCTCCCACACTGCACTGTCTGTTCTACATCAAGAGAGCCTATGCCTTCAAAGGAAGCCAGCTATGTAAGTTAGAAGTTCAGTTAAGTAAAGAACAGTGGAAGTTCAGTAATATAATGGCAAATTCAAAAGTAGATATTAAAAGGGGGAAATGAAAATGTATGTGAGTATAAAATGAAGATAGGTAATAAGAGAAATTATGAAAGGAGGTAAGTTAGTTAGTTACTATTTTAGTATTTAGTATGACACCCCCAATCATCATTTCTTGTCCTCACAAAAAATTAAGTGGCTTAATAGATAGACTTTTTCTGTTCTCATTCTAAAAGTGAACTGTCAGGCTGATGTGGCCGCTCTGCAACCCATAACACATGACGTAGAGGGTGCTCCAGGCATCACCATTTACTAGCCAGAGGGAAGGGAAGGTGGAGAGAGAATACAGGGCAAGTGTCTTTAAGGAGATAATCTAGACCAGGGGTGGAGACCCTGCAGCTTTAAGGCCACATGTGGCCTTCTAGGTCCTTAAATGCAGGCTTTTGACTGAATCCAGATTTTATAGAACAAATTTTTTAATTTTTATTAATACATTTTCTTCATCTTTTGTATCGTTTATTTTTAAAATGAATGTATTTAAAATACCAAAGAATAAAATAAGTTTCAACAAAATAATTCTCCCAAATTGACTGACAATTAGAACATTACTAAGCCATAAGGGCTAAATTGATGGCTGCTACTACACTCATGATTTAGTTCTAACTTCCCCTGCATGACTGGTGTCACTACCACATGAGGCTGGTTGGGGAGAGTTTATGGGGGTCCAGTATGCCACTCTGTTATCAGCTTTGGATGAATCAACTGATACTACTGACTTGGCACAGGTTTTATACTTAATTTGGGTCACAACAGAAGATTTTCTTTGCTAGCAAAGAATTATTCACTTTGGTTACTCTTGGGAACAGAACATGGGAATGGATATCTTTAACAACTTTCAAGATAAATGTCATGAAGTTGGACTGAATTTGGTAAATTTAATGAATTCATGTACAGACAGTGCATCTTCCATAACAAGAAAACATGAAGAGTTTATTGCCCAGATAAAAAAAAGTGTTAACAGATCTAGATGTTCTCATTTCTTTTTATTGTATTTTGCATCAGCAAAATCTCTCTGCTAAAGCTACTATTGTGACACTTTGCAACAAGTTATAAGTATTGTTAACTATATTCATGCAAATGCAACACAACATCATCAGTTTCATAAGGTGCTAAAGTTGAAAAATGAGGTATTCATTGTGAATTTGCTGTATCATTCTAAAGTATGTTGGCTATCACAAGAACAGATGTTAGCCAAAATGTTATCTCTGTGAGGACAGAAAGTTAAATTTTTTGAAGAACAGACTCAGCAATTTGAATTATATTGAAAGAATATTTCTATAGGAATGCAGTATTTCTGTGTGATGTCGTGTCAAATCAAAACGACTTTCTTTGCAAGGTAAAACTAAGTCTATATATGATATGTGGCAAAAAAAATCCAAGCATTTTGAAAAAAGCTATCTTTCTTCAAAACAGTTCTTCAAAAGGAAATTTCAGATGAACATTTTTCCTAGTTAGCAAAGGTCATTGATGGGCAGGATGATATATGGGAATCATTTGAAGAATACACAGCGGTTATAAATGTACTAACTGGAGAATACAATGAAAGTTTCACTGACTTTGAGAATTGTGACATCACTCAAATTAGCATTTCATCCTCATCTAATTGACATCACCAAGGCACCTAAAGAACTACAGATGGGATTGATTGACATCTAAGAAGAGGTCATTTTAAAGTCGTTGTTTGATGCTAAGAAAAATCCAACTGAAATATGGAAAAATGCATTAGAATACCCACATCTTCAGCAACATATCCAAAAAAATGCTTTCTTGCTTTTCAACCACTTATTGTTGTGATTCTACATTCTCCTACCCAATCCAAATCATGACACCCTTAAGGTCACAAATGACTGATACCCCTATAGAGCAGTGGTCCCCAACCATTTTGGCACCAGGGACCAGTTTCATGGAAGACAATTTTTCTGCAGACCAGGGTGTGAGGTATGGTTTCAGGATGATTCAAGCACATTGAATTGATTGTGCAGTCAGACCTCTCTGTTGACGATAATCTGTATTTGCAGCCGCTCCCCAGTGCTAGCATCACCACCTTAGCTCCACCTCAGATCATCAGGCATTAGAGTCTCATAAGGAGCACACAACCTAGATCCCTGGCATGTGCAATTTACAGAAGAGTTTGGGCTCCTATGAGAATCGAATGCTGCAGCTGATCTGATGGGAAGCGGAGCTTATTTGGTGATGCGAGTGATGGGGAGCAGCTGTACATACAGACAAAATTTCGCTTGCTTGCCCACCACTCACCTCCTGCTCTGTGGCCTGGTTCCTAACAGGCCACAGACCAGTAATGGTCTGCGGCCTGGGTGTTGTGGACCACAGCTCTAGAGATTAGCTGAAACTGTGGACCTCCATGCTGCAACCAAATATTCAAATGTTTTCCAACAAAAAGGAGACACAACAAAGTCATTAAAAGGTTAGTTAACTTTAAAATTAACAATTAGTCTTCATTTTTTGAAATCATTAAGTATATAGTAGTTAGATTTTTATAAAATAACGTACATTTTTAAGTATTAAGTGTATTTAATTGGAGTTTTTTTAATGTGGCCTCATTTGATTATAGCGAAATTAATGTAGCCTTCCAACATGAAAAGGTTCCCCACACCTGATCTAGACATTATGTGTATCCCTTCTGTTCTTATCCCATTGGTCTTAGCTTAGTCACATGGCACACTTCTTTGCAAGGGAGGCTGGGGAATGTAGTCTGTAGCTAGGTGATTATGTGCCTTGCTAAAATTTGGGACTTTCTGTAATTAAGAGGAAGAGGTACTTGAGGGTACTTGAGGCCATCAGTAGGTGCCATACTTGATTTTTGAAAGGTGGCGTTGCTAAGTGAGCATGGTACTCCTTCTGAATGTAGATAGGCTGCAAGATGGAAACATTTGAGACCTACTCTTCTTTCTTCCCCTGATGTGGCTGTGAGATGATGATGTCACAAGATGGAAGGGGCCTGGTTCCCCGACTCAGCAGATGGAGCAAAATTTCTTGCCTATCCTTGAATAGGAAATACATTTTTGGTGAACAAAACTGCTGAGATTTCAGGTTTAGTTTTACCACAGTATAACAGAATTGTATTCTGGCTAATACAATTTTGGTCTGAAATGGCCTTCCTGAAGGACAGAAAGTGATAGAGCTTGTCAGAAAAATCATTTCACTGGTCATTGTTTCAGTACTATTGCCATGTAATGCATTGTCCCAAACTCCATAGTATTAAACAACCACTGTTTCATTTTGCTCAA